CGCAAGGCGAGGGGAGAGAGCGAGAAGAGCCGGAAGACGGGACCGGGAAGAAAGCTCAAAGAAACCGCACACACTGAAGATGAGGAAGCACGCTCGACTTATATAGATGCACCGTGGGGGCGAGGCGGCTGGAGCGCAGGGGGTAAGCTGCAACGAGCGTTGATGGCTAGCTGCTGGGAGCGCTGGGAACAAGTTGCGATGGAAGCTGCTGCGCCTGCGTTACGCGCCCACTTGTTCGAACGGAGCGCGCTCTCATCCCCTCGAGCCGCCTCGAAAGTGGCGGAGGAGTAATTCTTCTTTGTACGCTCTACATGGCGGCTCGCAACGACTCGGGAATCCATCCAGCACGAAACATCACTTGACGCCTGATGGTAGAGCGGTGCACACATGGCATAGTGCCTGCCCAGTGTTGCACATGGCATAGGATGGCATGGCATTCCATGGTGCCTGCTACCGCACCATCGCATGGCATTGACCCTGATAACCGCGGTGCATGCAACTTTCCGTGATTTTCCACTTGTTGCGCGCATGCTGCAAGTCTAGATCGCCATGTGACGGAGAGCTATGTGTCTTACTTTCGTTCGCGACCATGGTCTTCATGACGAACGATGGAGCCACTGCAATTCGTTACACGAGTGGAAGTTAGAGATAGTGCTTCCGAAGGGTGAGGCAGACGGGTATTACGAGGACGGGTGTTCCGAGGTAGACGGCAGCGCGCTTTCTGTCTGATGGAACAGGTGTGGATCTCTGAACTGAAGGCATACACCATGCAACGGTCCTCCTAGGTATCCTGTTTCCTAAAAGGCCCCTAAACGACAGCCACGTCCTGCTTGTTTTGAATGTTGTCGAAACCTCGTTGTGGCGAACGCTCACAGATGGATAGACGGATAACTCGAAGCCCACGACAATTCTGGACCTGCAATCTGGGTAAGGGGCGACCGCATCAGTCCATGCAATGCAATACGTGCAGGCCGCACGAGCATAATCCTGTGCATATTTCTAGGCATGTGAGGTGAGGGCGATGCAGTTGGAATTTCTCCTGCTGAGAATGCGCGATTCGACTCCTTCGTCAATCTTCGCCTAAATTAATGATCTCATGCAGATAACGTGCTTGCGTGGACTGGATGTCAGAGGCAGCGGTTGCAACTTATTGGCCGCCGAGTGCGAAGACCGCCGAGTGCGAAGACCGCCGAGTGCGGGTCATTGACCTACCTGCAGTTGGCGCGCGATAGGCCATAACTCTTTCACTACAATATTACCAATTTTGGAAGGTAATATGAGATCATGTGGTTGTAAAACACGAAATATTGTACAGAAGTGTCATATTTGCAAAGATTCTCATTGCGGTTAAAACTACATAAGTTGTCGAAGGGCTAACAATACAGAAAATACAACTTTTCTACCTAAACGTGTCAGGACAGGTTGAAACAAAGCCATTTTGAAGAACCTTCAAGTATCAATCACATCACTCTAGCATAGGAGCCTCAAACCAAGCATGTTGTATTTGAACTTTCAACTCCACATGCTTCAGTTCAGTCACACCTGTCAACATTCTCGTTACTAGTGACATGGGATGGGGATGGAGAAACACATGCAGAAGGAAAATGGGCCAACTAAATCCAGAACATTTGGTTGGGAAACAACCAAGAAGCATCTTCCACGAGTGCGTATACCATGAAAAATAAAGGCTACTATTTGTTCTTTATTTATTTATTCAGTCCACTTCCTCTCGCACTCACAAGGTGTGCTGGGCCACAATCACAAACAAAAAGCCCCCACTCAGTGCAAGCGCGGTCGGCCTCTCTTCCGAGGCCTTCTCCATCTGCCACACGTGGTGTTTGCGGGGTGATGGAGATGCGGGATGGAAGATAGAGATGGAAATGGAAGATGGGGGGTGCGATGGAAGCCGACATCAGAAATGGGGGATGGGGGGAGTGGGCGGTGAGAGATGGCCTCAGAAAGGTCTCGGGAAGTTAAAGCGGCCTTTAAACCCTGAACCCTGAACCATCCCTCAACTTGTTGATCGAACTTACCATTGACAGCACCAGCCTCCTCCCCCACATACTCCACCTCCACGTCCTCCTCTTCCTCCTCATCCCCCCCTGCTCCCCCTGCTCTCCAGATATACCCTTTTCAAGACACCTGAATTTGATCAGCACACTCACCATTTCCATTGCGGCACCGGCGTCCTCCCCCACATATTCCACCTCCACCTCCTCTTCCTCCTCATCACCCCTGCTCCCTCCACCACAGCAGCAAGCGACGCGCCCTTGACCTTGACGAGGTGCCAGAGGTGGCCCTGAGTGTCATACACCATTGATGGACGCAGCTCCCACGGCCGCACCTGCTTCTGCCCCATCTCCCCGTACCCTAGCCAAGGGGAGAAGGGGGGGCGGGGAAGAGGAGCAGGGGGAGAGCAGGGGGAGAAGCAGCGGCAAGGGGAAGGGTTGGGAGCAGGAAGGGGAGAGAGGGAAGAGAGGAGTGGCAGTAAGCAAGCAAGCGACGCGCCCCTGATCTTGACGTGGTGCCAGAGGTGGCCCTGTGTGTCATACACCATTGACGGGCGTAATTCCCACGGCCGCACCTGCTTCTGCCCCATCTCCCTGTACCCTAGCCAAGGGGAGAAGGGGGGGCGGGGAAGAGGAGCAGGGGGAGGAGCAGGGGGAGAGCAGGGGGAGAAGCAGCGGCAACGGGAAGGGTTGGGAGCAGGAAGGGGAGAGAGGGAAGAGAGGAGTGGCAGTAAGCAGCAAGCGACGCGCCCCTGATCTTGACGAGGTGCCAGAGGTGGCCCTGTGTGTCATACACCATTGACGGGCGTAACCCCCACGGCCGCACCTGCTTCTGCCCCATCTCCCCGTACCCTGGCACCACAGAAGAGAGGGGAAGGCGGGAGTGAAGGGGGGCATGGCGACTGACCGTCAAAGGTGAGCAAGCAGCAGCTCAATGGGGGGGGTGGAGCAACATGGAGTTTCCACATGGCGACATGTCCTTTGAAAGGATAAAGAATACTCTTGAGCTGTGGATTATGGCGCCTAAACAATAGAGATGTGGACATGGCGACTGACTAACCTACAGAAAAGTGTGGAGGAAAGTACCTGGAAACTCCACAGTGAAGCCTGTGATTTTGGGTCCCTGTGCGTCCACTGCCGTGACGACCCCCTCCCACCACCTGTGTTGCCGCGAGGGGGATAAGGGAGAGGGGGAAGTGAAATGAGAGGTGGAGGGGAAGAGAGCGAGAGGGGTTGAGAGGGGAAGATAGAGAGTGGGAGAGGAAAGATAGAGAGGGGGTGAGGGGAAGGGAGCGAGAAAGACCACATGCGTTGACCCTCACCCCCACAGCCCACACCCTCCCCCTCATGACAGCTCTGCGCCGCTATGTACAAATTCTACGCATAAATCAAAAGTTAATCACCCCGCCACTCACCCGTCATCCACCCACGCATCGACTCTGTCCCCCACAGCCCACACGCGCCCCATCGCCACCCGCCGGCGCCTCCCCCTCTCCCTCCCCGGCCGCAGCCGCCTCTCCAGCTGCGCGCCCTTCCTCACGCGTTTAGAATATAGGGTTGACTCAGAAAGAACTCACCCGTCGTCCACCCATGCGTCGACTCTGTCCCCCACGGCCCACACGCGCCCCATCGCCACCCTCCGCCGCCTCCCCCTCTCCCTCCCGGGCCTCAGCCGCCTCTCCGGCTGCGCGCCCTTCCTCTGGGGAGCTGTCGGCACGCCAGAGACGAAGCGAGAGGAGTCGCTTGCAGAGGGGGAGGGCGGGACCAGCCCCACCCACTCCTCCAACTGGTGGGTGCCTGGTTTGGGAAGAATGAAGGAAAAAAGGTAGGGGGGAATAGGAAGAGGAGCGCAGAGGTTGGGCCAGGTGAAAAAAGGGGCCTTAGCCGCCTCTCAGCCGCCTCTCAGCCGCCTCTCAGCCGCCTCTCAGCCGCCTCTCAGCCGCCTCTCAGCCGCCTCTCAGACGCCTCTCAGACGCCTCTCAGACGCCTCTCAGACGCCTCTCAGACGCCTCTCAGCCGCCTCTCAGACGCCTCTCAGCCGCCTCTCAGACGCCTCTCAGCCGCCTCTCAGGCACCTCTCCGGCTGCGCGCCCTTCCTCTGGGGGGCCGAAGGTACGCAGAGACGAAGCGGGAAGCGTCACTTGCAGCAGGCGAGGGCAGGACCAGCCCCACCCACTCCTCCAACTGGTGCGTACCTGAAGAGGGGGAGGAGGGGGAAAAGGGATGAAAAAAGGAGGTTTCAGCCGCCTCTCAGCTGCCTCTCCGGCTGCGTGCCCTTCCTCTGGGGAGCTGACAGCACGCCTGAGACAAAGCGGGAGGCGTCACTTGCAGAAGGGGAGGGCGGGACGAGCCCCACCCACTCCTCCAACTGGTGGGTGCCTGGTGTAGTGAAGAAGGACGGGAAGGTAGCAGTGGGGTTAAGCCGCCTCACAGCCGCCTCTCAGGCTGCGCGCCCTTCCTCTGCGTCGCCTGCAGAGGAGGGCGGGACGAGCCCCACCCACTCCTCCAGCTAGCTGATGCGTGCCTGGAGAGAGGTGGGGAGGGTGGGTGGGAGAAGAGGAAGAAACGGGATTCAGCCGCCTCTCAGGCTGCTGGCCCTTCCCCTGTTGGGCTGAAGGTACGCACGAGACGAAGCGAGAGGCGTTGCTTGCAGAAGGGGAGGGCGGGACGAGCCCCACCCACTCCTCTAGTTGGTGCGTGCATGGAGAGAGGTGGGGAGGGTGGGTGGGAGAAGAGGAAGAAACGGGATTCTGCCGCCTCTCAGGCTGCTGGCCCTTCCCCTCTGGGGGGCTGACAGAACGGCACGCCCAACACGAAGCAGGAGGCGTCACCCGCTGGCCCAACACGAAGCAGGAGGCGTCACCCGCTGGCCCGACACGAAGCAGGAGGCGTCACCCGCTGGCCCGTCTCACAAGTGCAAGAGCGTGATCAGCACGTCATGTGTCACGCACTCACCATCATCGTCCAGCAGCTCGCCGTATCGCACCAACGCCCGGCTGCCCACAATCTGCAGCACCGTGCCCGTGAACCAAGCTGCAAGCAAGCAGCAATCGCCAGGCACTCACCACAAGGCACTCATACCCATGCCCCCTCATCTCACCATCGTCATCCAGCAGCTCGTCGTATCGCACCAACGCCCGGTTCCCCACAATCTGCAGCACCGTGCCTGTGAACCAGCTTCCCCTCAGCCCCTCCTCGTTGGACGCCACCTGTGGCAGTGAGGGCGATAAAGGAGTGCAAAGGAGTGCAAAGGAGTGCAGGCACATAGATGCGTGGGTGGGGAGACGGTGAGTTGCCCACAATCTGCAGCACCGTGCCCGTGGTGAACCAGCTGCCCCTCACGCCCTCCTCGTTGGATGCCACCTGTGGCAGTGAGGGAAAGAGGCAAAGGAGTGCAAAGGAGTGCAGGCACAGAAGCGCGTATATGGGGAGATAGCGAGTTGCCCACTATCTGCAACACCGTGCCCGTGAACCAGCTACCCCTCGGGCCCTCCTCGTTGGGCGCCACCTGTGGCAGTCAGCGGGGAAAAATAGGCAGGAGAGGCATGACAGTGCATGCACACAGACACATAGGTTATGCGGAGACGGCGAGTCGCTGGCTGAGTCCATGTACAAAGCTATGTGAAAGCAGGCATGCCCCGTACATGCCATACCATACGTGCCATGCCCCATACATGCCATACCATACGTGCCATGCCCCATACATGCCATACCATACGTGCCATGCCCCATACATGCCATACCATACGTGCCATGCCCCATACATGCCATACCACACGTGCCATGCCCCATACATGCCATACCATTCGTGCCATGCCCCATACATGCCATACCATATGTGCCATGCCATGCCCCGTACATACCTCTACAAAGGACCCCACAGTGAACTTGTGTCGCAGAGTCTGTCCCCCCTCCTCCTCCTCCGCCTCCTCCTCCCCTTCCTCTTCCCCATACTCCCCCCCCGCCCTCCATCTCCCCCCGCGACCTCTTCCCCACCCGCCACTCCCCCCCTTCCTCCCCCTCATCCTCCCCTTCGTCCCAGACTGACTTGCGCCCACGCCCCCTCCCCCTCCCCCTGCCCCTGCCCCTCCCCCTGCCTCTCCCCCTCCCCCTCCCCCTCCCCCTTCCGCTTCCCCTTCCCCCAGGCGTCCCCTCATACCCCTGAAACGCCACAGGGCTCACCCCTCCGCCTACCACTCCCCCCATCCCTCCCCCTACTCCTCCCCCTATCCCTCCCCCTATTCCTCCCCTCCCCCCCGAACCTCCTCCCCCTCCCCCAAACCCTTCCTCCTCCGTCCACGTGGCAGCTCCTGATTCGTCCATAGGAGAAGCCCCCTGCACCCCCTCCAACCCCTCTACTTCCTCCTCATCCTCCTCCTCCTCCCACACCCCATCTCCCATCTTCCCAAGCTCCCTAGCCGTCCTCCTAACCCTCCTCGGCTTAACCTGCAGCGCAAGTACATACTTCACCCCTCCTTTCTCCCCCTTCCTCCCTCCTCTCCCCCTTCCTCCCCCGCCCCCCTCCCTCCACTCCCTCCCCTCCTCCTCCATCATTATCAACCCCACCTTACTCCTATAATACTTAACTAAGTCCCACGCTGACTTGGCAGCGGCAGCCGACGCTGCGAGCAACAGCAGCAGCAGCCAATGCCTGCGCAGCCAGCTTCCCTGCTGAGCTGTCAGCCTCCACGTGGCAGTTGTCCACCTCATAGAGCTCCTGCCACATGGCGTCCAGGTCACGATCGAGAGCCAGCATGGCTTTGCCTGCACTGACAGCCGAGTCCTTTGCCATTAGCAGCGCTCGGTCGGCTGCCTCGCACCAGCCGTCTAGAAGGGGACCGGCGGGTTTGGTGGGGGTAGGGGCCGAGGGGGTGGCGGCTTCTGTAGCAGCAGAAGTAGTTATAGCAGCAGCAGCAGGAGGAGGAGGAGCATCTGTAATGGCAGTAGCATCAGTAACAGCAACCTCATGAGAGGCTGTAGCAGCAGCATCGGCTGGAGCAGCAGCATCAGCTGTAGCAGCAGCATTGGCTGTAGCAGCAGCATCAGTGGTAGCATCATCAGCAGGTGCAGCAGCAGCATCGGCTGTAGCAGCAGCAGCATCCGTTGCAGCAGCATCAGCAGGTGCAGCTTCACTTTCAGCAACAACGGTTGCAGCAACATCAGTTATAACCACATCAGCAGTTGCAGCATCAGTGGTAGCAACATCAGTAGTTGCAGCATCGGTAGTAGCGGCATCAGTAGTAGCAACAGCTGCAGCAGAATCGTCAGGAGCAGCACCATCAGGCGCATCAACAGCAGCTGTAGCAGCAGCAGCAGCTTCATCAGCAGCACTACCATCAGGCATGTCAGCAGCAGTGGTAGCATGAGGGGCATCGGCGTTGCTTCCCTGTGCTTGCTCCTGCTTCTCTTTGCCAACTTCTGCTTCCTCTGCAGGCACTTTCTCTGCTGCTTCCTCTGCAGGCACTTTCTCTGCTGCTTCCTCTGCAGGCACCTTCTCTGCTGCTTCCTCTGCAGGAACCTTCTCGGCTGCTTCCTCTGCAGTCACCTTCTCGCCTGCTTCCTCTGCAGTCACCTTCTCTTCGGTTTCCATAGCATCTGCTCCCTTTTCATCACTTCCCCTTGTTGCTTCTGCTGCATCAGCTGTAGCAGCCTCGGCTGTGGCAGCATCGGTTGCAGCAGCATCGGTTGTAGCAGCATCAGTTGTAGCAGCATCACCTGTAGCAGCATCAGCTGTAGCAGTGGCAGCAGCATCGGCTGCAACAGCAGTATCCTTGGCATCTGTTTCCATTGTGTCTGCTCCCTTTTCCTCACTCCCCTTAGTTGCTTCCGCTACCTCAGCTGTAGCACAATCGTTTGTAACAGCAGCAGCAGCATCGGCTGTAGCAGCACCATCAATTGTAGCAGAGGCGTCTGCGTCTGTTTCCATTGTGTCTGCTTCCTTCTCATCACTACACTTAGCTGCTTCCGCTACCTCAGCTGTAGCACCCTCGGTTTCAGCAGCCGCGTCATCAGTTGTAGCAGCAGCAGCAGCAGCATCGGTTGTAGCAGCAGCAGCTGCATCGCGTGTACCAGGGTCTTCCTTTGTATCCTCGTCCATTGTGCTTGCTCCCTTCTCGTCTGTTCCCTTAGCTGCTTCTGCTGCATCAGCTGTAGCAGCATCGGCTGTAGCAGCATCAGCTGTAGCGGCATCACCTGTAGCAACAGCGCCCTCCTTCGTATCTGTTTCCATAGCGTCTGCTGCTCCCTTCTCCTGACCTTCATCAGCTGCTTCCTTCGCATCACCTGTAGCAGCATCAGCTGTAGCAGCAGCGGCGTCAGCTGTCGTAGCAGGAGCGTCAGCTGAAGCAGCAGCAGTAGCATCAGCTGTAGCAGCATCCACTGAAGCAGCAGCATCCTCCTTTGTATCCACTTCCATAGTGTCAACCTCCTTTCCAGCGCCAGCAGCAGCAGCAGTATCAGCAGCACCAGCATCAGCAACAGTATCAGCCACCGCAGCAGGAACAGCAGCAGAAACAGCACCTCCAACACCAGCATCATCAGCAACACCAGCACCAGCAACCTCATCCTTCTTCTCCTCTCCTCCCTTCCCCTTCGCCCCATCCACACACACCAACCCAAGAGCAGCAGCGGCATGCTTCCCAGCCACCGCAGCAGCAGCAGCCGCCCTCCCAGCAGCTTCCTCTGCAATCGCCCTATCCGGGGCCAAACCCAACAGATACTCCCTCGCCTCTTCTTCCTCCACTTTCCCCCACGCCGCCCTCCCCAAAACCGCCCCCAATTTCTGCGCTTCTGCAGGGATTCTAGGCCCGACTCGGTATTTTCTGTGGGGAATTTCCCCGTCGATTTCCCCTGGATTACCCTCTTCCCCTTCCATTCCCTCCGAATCCCACACTCCCCCTCTCCTCATCCCCCCTGCCCCCATCCCGTTCCCTGCGTAATACCCCTCCTCCCCTTCTTCCCCCGGGTATTCCCCCCTGCCCCCATATCCCCCCCCATGGGCAGCATACGCGCCCCTTCTCCCCCTCCCCCTCCCCCGCCCCCTGCCCCTCCCCCTACCTCGGCCCCGACCTCTCCCCCTGCCTCGGCCGCCCGAGGCTTGGTAGCCAATCATGCGCTTGCGCTCCTCCCAAGCCTCCACCACTTCAAGCCAGCGCTCATGCTCTGGTGTGCCTAGGTCTGGTTGGAGGGAGTGGGAATGAGTGCGAATGTATGGGAAGGAGTGGGACAGATTGCTGTAAGCATAGGGCGTGCTCTGGCATGCGCTTGCGCCCCCCCCCCAAGCCTCCACCACCTCGAGCCAGTGCTCATGCTCTGGCGTGCCTAGGTCTGGATAGGAGGTGTGGGAAGGAGGGAAGGAGAGAAAGAGGAATGAGGGACGAAGAGGGAGAAAATGGGAGGGATTCGAGAGTAGAATATGACACTAAAGCTATTTTTTATTCAAGGTAGTCACACCAATCGCAAGCAAGACGCAATATGTGGAAACGACATCTGAGAAGGGACAAGGGCCGTACCTGAGGGCATGGAGGCAAAGACGAGATTCCGCAGCTCCTCCTCCAAAGGCTCCTTGCGACTGGTGCATGGGCGTGGGGGGGAGATGGGGTGAGGGTGGGGGTTATGGCCATGGGCAGTTACACCTGTGGGTGTGACAATGGCCATGGGCAGTTACACCTGTGGGTGTCACTATGGCCATGGGCGGTTACACCTGTGGGTGTGACTATGGCCATGGGCAGTTACACCTGTGGGTGTGACTATGGCCATGGGCAGTTACACCTGTGGGTGTGACTATGGCCATGGGCGGTTACACCTGTGGGTGTGACTATGGCCATGGGCAGTTACACCTGTGGGTGTGACTATGGCCATGGGCAGTTACACACCTGTGGGTGTGACTATGGCCATGGGCAGTTACACACCTGTGTGTGTGACTGTGCTTACTTTAACAGTGACACGACTGAAAAGATGCACCCCATAGAAGAGAATGCGCGTTTCGATCGGATCCATCTAGCAGTTTAGGCAGGCAGGCAGCATCACCAGGCTGCCCATTGCTCACTGCCAACCAACCCTCTCACTACCAGCACTGTATACAGTCACACCCCGTTACGTCACATTTTCTACAGTCACACGACTCACAAGATCCGCCCGTAGAAGAGGATGATGTGTGCTTCGATTTGACCCAGCAGCATCGGCAGCATCATCAGGTTGCCCACTGCTCACAGCCAGCCAACCCTCTCACTACCAGCACACTGTCACACCCCATATAATCACACAGTGTACAGTCACACCACTTACAAGATGCGTCCATAGAACAGGATGTGTGCTTCGATCTGATCCAGCAGCATGGGCAGCATCATCAGGTTGCCCACTGCCGGCCCGGGCGGCGGCTGCGGCAGCTGCTGCTGCATCAGAATCAGATCTGCCGCCTCCACACTTGACAGAATCCGATCTGTTGCTTCAGTGCCAGCCAGGACCATCTCCTTGCCGCCCGCTCCCGCCCCTTCTGCTGCCCCTGCGCCTTCTCCTCCTCCTCCTGCTGCCGCTGCTTCGGCCTCCCCTGCTGCAGCTTCTCCTGCTGCTGCTTCACCTGCTGCCATTCCTCCTGCTGTGGCTTCTCCTTCCACGTAAGGCTGTGCCACGTGTCCTTCCATCTGTCCCTCCACGTGTCCCCCCCGTCTGCCCCTCCACGTGTCCCCCCGTCTGCCCCTCCACGTGTCCCCCCGTCTGCCCCTCCACGTGTCCCCCCGTCTGCCCCTCCACGTGTCCCCCCGTCTGCCCTTCCGCATACCCTCCAGCCTCCCCACCAACCACATATGCATGCGCCCCCTCTTGCCCGTACCCCTCATGTGCCTGGCCCTGCTCTCCCGTGTACCCACCCTGCGGCTCCCCCTGTTCCCCCTGAGCGTACCCTTCATTACCCATCCCCATCCCTTCATTACCCTGAGTAATATACCCTTCTTGCGCCCCTGCTCCTGTGTACCCTTCATGGGTCCCCGCTTCAGTGTATCCCTCCGCGCCCCCGGCCATGTGTGCTGCTTCCGCTTCCCCCTGCATCCGCACCCCTTCCATTCCCGCCCCACCAGCCCCTGCCGCACCACCTGCTGCTGCCGCTGCTGCTTCTGCTGCTGCGGTGTCAGCGGCAGCAACAGCAGCAGCGTAGGCATCAGCATCAGGTTTAGCCGCCATATATCCAGCTTCAACAGCCGCATCACCAGCATCAGCGGCATCAGCAGCAGCAGTAGGTGCGTATACCACCTCTCCTCCTTCCCCCACCACTGCTCCTTGTTGCTGCTCCTGAATTTCCACATCTCCTCCTAACGGCTGCCCCGCATACTCCTGCCCCTCCTGCTGCTGCTGCCCCGCATAAGCCTCCCCCTCTTGCTGCTGCCCCGCATAAGCCTCCCCCACATACCCCTGTGCCCCGTACTCCCCACCCCCATGCTCCTGCGCTGCATACTCTTGCACCATATGCTCCCCCCCTGCATGCACCTCCCCCCCATGGCCCCCATGCTCTCCCCCCCGCCTGCGCCTCCCCTTCATGCGGCTGCCCCCCATGCTCCCCATGCTCCCCGTGCTCCCCGCCCGCGCTGCCCACTGCGCCAACCTGCTGCTCGTATTGGGCATCTCCCCCCACTCCCCCCTGCTCGCCCGTTCCCCCCTGCACCATCTCCCCTTCATGCGTCATCTCGCCCCCTGCCACCTGCCCCTCTCCCCCCACCACCTGCGCCTCTTCCGCTGTTTCCCCATCATGTTTCACATCCATACCCATCCGAAGCCGTAGCACTTCATCCCCCTCCTGCTCATCTATATGCTCTCCCATATGCTCTCCCTCCCCTTGTCCTCCCTCCCCCATAACCTCCCCCTCTCCCCCCACCACTTGCCCTCCCTCCCCCATCACCTCCCCCTCTCCCCCCACCACCTGCCCCCCTTCCAGGCCTCCCTCTCCCACCTTTACATCCAGGCCCATACTCGTTATAGGCTGCCCCTGCTCCTGCTGCCCGTACGCACCACTCCCATCACCATGCTTCACATCCATACCCATCCCCTCTACTGGCGGAGCCGCTTCCGCCTCCCCCTGTGCGTCCCCCACTGGCGGAACAGACTCCTGGTTACCACCCTGCGGTTGGCTCTCCTCTGCAGGAGCAGATTCCTCTGCAGCAACAGGTTCCTCTGTAAAAGCATACACCTCTGCACCAGTTCCGGTTCCCTCTAGCGCGCCTGCTGATGTCCCCTCCGCTGGTGCCGTTTCCTCTGCAGGAGCAGATTCCTCTGCAGGTGTTTCCGCAGCAGGGGGAGAAACCTCAGGGGCAGCATCGGCAAGAACCTCCCCACCAACCGCAGTGATCGCAGCTTGTGCATCAGCCACGGGAGCAGGCTCAGCAGGAACTGGTTCGGCAGCAGGCTCAGTTGTAGGATCTGGAACAGCGTCATTAAGAAGGGGGAGGGGGAGGGGGGAAGGTGGTGAGGGATAGCAAGTCAAGCTTACGTTAACAAAGAGGCTTCGTTTATTTCAGAGGCGAAAGAAACCTCGAACCAGTATGAAGGTTCACTTTAACGTGGATGGCCACTGACAAGGTGAGCGAAGTGAAAAGCGAGTGAAGTTACACTGGAAAGCTTTTCCATAGGGAAATTATATGTGAATAAGAGCGATAATATGCTTGAAAATAGGGAAAACAAAATGGTCACCGTTAAAACGTACCTGACTCTCCCAGCATGTCGTCCAGAAGGTTCTCCGCATCTTCCGTGATCACCGTCGTCGGCGCTGCCGTCGTTCCTTCCGCGTCCCTTCCGTCGCCTTCCAGCTCCGCCGCCGCCGCTGCCGCGCTCTCGTGCGCTGGGTAACCCGCATCGGCCGCCGCATCTGGCGCCGCATCGGACGCCGGGAAACCCGCATCCGTCGCCGCGAAGTATTCAGCGGCGCTCGATCCTGGCTCCGCCGCCGCTTCCGGTGCTGAGAAAGCGTGTCCATCCTCGTTAGAAGGTGCATCGACACCCTGCACAGTTTCTTCCATCTCCACGCCCTCCATTGGCGCTTCCACGTACGCGTGACTGTCGGGTATTTCCTCCATACGGCGCCTTCGTTAGAAGCACAAGAGTGGCGAAACTAATGGCCCGCGAGACTGTAACGAGAGACGTAATAGCGGGACAAGAAGCGGAGGGGAGACGGCGAAATTTTGAGACTGTAGCGAACCTGTCCCAAAAGAACAAGGACTCGAAAAAGGTGAAAAAAACCGGAAAAGTGACGTTGTCGGTAGTGTAGAGAAGGGAGCGACGACAAAGGTCACAGAAGCTGCGCGAAGCTAACTAAGTCAAGGAGAAATAAACCACGAGAAAAAGTGAAGCACGTCTTGTGAAATTTTAAAATAGTACTATGATGCCGTCGGATGGGGAAGCGAAAGCGCGACGCATTCTAACGACAGTGGGCAATACTAGACGACGCCAAATGCAGCCCCTAGGATCGCGGACAGAAAACTCGAAGGTTGGAAAAGAAACGAACTAGTTCAAACACATGAGGCAACTGCAGCAACTGCGGCGTTCGTCCCGCAACTGTACAACGAAGCTAAGAAGGTAACCTTGACTTTCCGTAACTCGTACTAATGGCACACGCTTTGAACTTCTACAGCCGTAAATCCTCGTAAACTCGAGACACTAGCGTGGGGCACTTACTACGTGAACAAAAACGCGGTGGTGCTTTGTTAGCAAAAGCAGATGAACATTCCTGCCAGGAATCGATTTCAAATGTGCGCTACGACTGCGACACTCGCAAACTCGCGCGACCTGGGCTAACTGCAGACCGGAAAGAAAGAAAAGGCAAAGCAGATATAGATGGCGAGCATAATAAAATCGAGTTCAGCAGTTTGTAACTTCAAACTCTCGAAAGCTCGAAAACCTGGAAAACCTGAGAACCTGGGAACCCAGCGGGAAACAGAAAAAGGAAGTGAGAGAATATATACGACAATACAATCGAGGAGAACCAGCCGCTATCGTTGTAATTGCGACAGTATCGAGGGGAAGGGGAGCGAATACGTTGGCCGGAAATGTTTCGTTGAAACCCTAGCGGCACCATAAGGAGGGTAAAGCGATCGGCGTAAGGGAAAGGATAAGGATTCGAAGAAACTGTTCAAGACTTGCGATGGTGCAGTACGGTTCAATAGCTGGCACAAGAGACCAAGATGCTACTCCGGTAACAACAGCCTCGGTGTGTGACTGCCATCCAATGACCCCTACAAAGCACTTCGAATAACGAGACGCCTATCTTTTGTGCAACACCCCATTACAATATTGGTGTAAAATTCCACATTCCTTCCAGACTCAAATTGCCAGGATATGGTAATAGCAATCGCAAAGAGGACAAGTAGCTTGTAGTTTACAACCAAGCCCTCAGAGTCATGTGCAAAAGCCAGGCCATAATAATACAATGCAGGCATCAGGAAAGCATAACTATCTTTAAATACCATTTCCATCATACACATACGTGTTGTACTCATCCTTCTGCGCATAACTTTCGCAACTACTAGTACCGGACTGCTGCTTCTGCTGATACGGCTTGATATCAAGACCTGCCAACTTGATGCCACCACCACCAGCACCGCCCATACCACCGAATTCCGAACCAGCAGATGCCCCAGCACCCACCCCACCAGCACCACCACCAGCCCCAGGCCTCATCGCACCCATCCCGCCCCGACCATGCCCCATCGAATCATAAGCCCCCATACCCCCACCCATGCCCCCGCCCATACCCCCACCCATGCCCCCGCCCATACCCCCACCCATGCCCCCACTCATGCCCCCATGCATACCCCTACCCATGCCCATGGCCCCCATTCCCCCCATTCCTCCCATTCCTCCCATTCCCCCCATTGCCCCCATTCCTCCCATGCCCCCCATCCCCCCCATGCCCCCCATTCTTCCCATGCCCCCCATTTCTGCCATCTCCCCACTCATACTCCCCCCTCCCCCACTGTAAGCCGAACCAGGTGTGCCAGGCACATGCATGTTCCCACCGCCTGCCTGAAGCTCCCGCGCTGTCAGCACGTATGCCACGTCAGCAGTAGCGCCTGACGCCACAGATAGATCCAAAAAGACCTTGCCGCCCACGATCTGCCGCCCGACGGCTGACACCGGGCGGTCGTCTCCTATAAACGTGTCGAGGCCTGATGGGGGGGGGGAAGGGTGCCCGGGGGGGGTTGACTTGAGTTGACTTGGTAGGCAGAAGCTGACACTGAATGGTTGACTCCTATCAGTGTGTCATGGTCTAATAGAAAGGTGTGCAGGAGAGTGGGTGGCTTGTGTCAAAGCACCACTGACAATCACTACTGTCGCTGCACGCCCTTTTGAGATTTCTCAAAAGTCATAGCAACAGTGACAACCACTGTTGTTGCTGCACGCGCTATTAGTTCCAAAAATTGCTCCTCGACCCTTCCTTTTCCCCTTCTCACCGTTTTCAAAAACATCCTCTGACCCATGCACAGACTCGACAAGGTATGTGATGTGATGTGAAGGGTTTTTGAGGCGCCTAAAAAATTCCCCTTCTCACCGTTTTCAAAAACATCCTCTGACCCATGCACTGACTGGTGCTTGAGAATTCTCAAAGTAGGGTAGTGGCATCACATGCACGGACTCAAGAAGGTCCGTGATGTGATGTGATGTGATGTGATGTGATGTGATGTGATGTGATGTGATGTGATGTGATGTGATGTGATGTGATGTGATGTGATGTGATGTGATGTGAAGGGTGCCTGGGAGGGTGGACGCGCAGTGACAAGGTGTATTCACGCCCGCCATCCCTGCTGCTGTCGCCACTGCCTGTGTGGGTGAGGGTATCTCATCACCCTGTTCTCAAACCTTGTGGTATCATCATCTTACAACTTTTGAGGCGCCTCAAAAATCTTACACTTCTCTATCAAGTCCTCCGACCCATCGACAGACTCCAGAAGGTCTGTGATGTGAAGGGTGTTGGGGAGGGTGGACGCGTCCCCGTCATCCCCGCTGATGCTGCCACTGTCCCGAATGGATGTTAGTAACCTAATGTTGTCCCCTCTCACCACTGTCTCGGAAGTCCTCCGACCCATTGACAGACGCGAGCAGGTCTGTGATGTGAAGGGTGTCTGGGAGAGTGGACGCGTCCCCGTTTGGCTAGGTGCATGCACTTCACACCATCCCACTCCAACCACCGCGGCAGATTCCCCCTCACCGGTCGCCATAAAGTCCTCTCTCATCAACATGTGCCCCTCTCACTCACCATCATCAGACCTTGAAATGTCAACTCACCAGTCTCTATGAAGTCCTCAGATCCATCAACAGACTCAAGAAGGTCCGTGATGTGGAGGGTGTCGGGGAGAGTCGATGCGTCCACGTCATCCCCGCTGCTGCCGCCGACCATGTGGGTGGGTGTCCCATCAGCTTGTGCCCCTCTCACTCACCATTATCAGACCTTGGAACGTCAACTCACCGGTATGGTATCTATGAAGTCCTCTGACCCGTCAACAGATTCAAGGTGGTCTGTGGTGTTGGGGAGAGTGGGCGCGTCCACATCATCCCCGCTGCTGATACTGATCACATTTGCTACTGATGCATTTTCTCCCCCTCACCGGTCTCGATAAAGTCATCTGACCCATCGATAGACTCCAGAAGATCCGTGATGTGGAGGGTGTCTGGGAGGGTGGACGCGCCCACGTCTGACTAGGTGCATTCACACCATCCCCGTGCTCACCGTTCTCGATAAAGTCTTCTGATCCGTCCACAGACTCCAGAAGGTCCGTGATGTGGAGGGTGTCTGGGAGGGTGGGTGGACGCGTCTACGTCTGACTAGGTGCATTCACACCATCCCCGTGCTCACCGGTCTCTATAAAGTCTTCTGACCCATCCACAGACTCCAGAAGATCCGTGATGTGGAGGGTGTCTGGGAGGGTGGGTGGACGTGTCTACGTCTGACTAGGTGCATTCACACCATCCCCGTGCTCACCGTTCTCGATAAAGTCTTCTGATCCGTCCACAGACTCCAGAAGGACCGTGATGTGGAGGGTGTCTGGGAGGGTGGGTGGACGCGTCTACGTCTGACTAGGTGCATTCACACCATCCCCGTGCTCACCGGTCTCTATAAAGTCTTCTGACCCATCCACAGACTCCAGAAGGACCGTGATGTGGAGGGTGTCTGGGAGGGTGGGTGGACGCGTCTACGTCTGACTAGGTGCATTCACACCATCCCCGTGCTCACCGGTCTCTATAAAGTCTTCTGACCCATCCACAGACTCCAGAAGATCCGTGATGTGGAGGGTGTCGGGGAGAGTGGACGCGTCCACGTCATCCCCGCTGCTGCCGGTGCCAGATTCGGTGAATCCAAACAGTGTCCGCGCCGCCCGGTTCATTGCCGTGATGGAGCCGCCGTCGTCGAGAGCAATGATGGCGTCTATGGTGCTCTGAGAGAGGGCAGGGAGGGGAGGGGAGGGGAGGGGAGGGGGGGGCAAGATTTGAGTGAATTCAAACAGGGTCCGCGCCGCCCGGTTCATTCCCGTGATGGTGCCGCCGTCGTCCAGAGCAATGATGGCGTCTATGGTGCTCTGAGAGAGGGCAGGGAGGGGAGGGCAGTGGAAAGGAGGGGAGAGGGAACACACATACAAACATGCATGAGAAGGGGCATGGGACTGCACAGCCGTGATGGTGCCGCTGTTGTCCAGTGCTATGACGGCTTCTATGGTGCTCCGTGGAGAGAGCAGGGAGGGGCAGAGGCGCACGGAAGAGGAGTTAGGGAAGCGGTGGCTTTTGAGTCGACTCAAAAGTCAGCAGGGAGGGGCAGAGGCGCATGGAAGAGGAGTTAGGGACGAGGCAAGGTGCAAGGGGAGCCACATGGGAAAGCAAAGAGCACGGTTCATTGCGGTGATGGCGCGGCGCCGCCCTCATCCAGTGCAATGAAGGGGTCTGTCTATGGTGCTCTGGGGAAGGTGGGAAGGGTGCTTTTGAGAATTCTCAAAAACTCCCTGCAAACGCCGCGCCGCCGTCATCCAGTGCAACGAAGGGGTCTATCTACGGTGCTCTGGGGAAGGTGGGAAGGGTAAGGGGGGTGGAGGAGAGGAGAGGCATGTGGGTGGGAGCGCGCATACGAACAAGCATGAAAAGGGGCCGCACGGTTCACTACCGTGGCGAGTCGACTCAAAAATAGACTCATCACTACTGTGCTCTGTGCTGCCCCCGCCCATACCTAATCATGATGAGCATCGAGCCCCCCTGCCTTGAGCATCGAGCCCCCCTGCCTTGAGCATCGAGCCCCCCTGCCTTGAGCATCGAGCCCCCCTGCCTTGAGCATCGAGCCCCCCTGCCTTGAGCATCGAGCCCCCCTGCCTTGAGCATCGAGCCCCCCTGCCTTGAGCATCGAGCCCCCCTGCCTTGAGCATCGAGCCCCCCTGCCTTGAGCATCGAGCCCCCCTGCCTTGAGCATCGAGCCCCCCTGCCTTGAGCATCGAGCCCCCTGCCTTGAGCATCGAGCCCCCCTGCCTTGAGCATCGAGCCCCCCTGCCTTGAGCATCGAGCCCCCCTGCCTTGAGCATCGAGCCCCCCTGCCTTGAGCATCGAGCCCCCCTGCCTTGAGCATCGAGCCCCCCTGCCTTGAGCATCGAGCCCCCCTGCCTTGAGCATCGAGCCCCCCTGCCTTGAGCATCGAGCCCCCCTGCCTTGAGCATCGAGCCCCCCTGCCTTGAGCATCGAGCCCCCCTGCCTTGAGCATCGAGCCCCCTCCTGGCCCCTTGAGCATCGAGCCCCCCTGCCTTGAGCATCGAGCCCCCCTGCCTTGAGCATCAAAACCTTACCTTCACAGTTCAAACCCATTTCATTCCACCATCAAGGCCACCCTACCTTGAGCATGGACGCCATGCGCTTCTCCTTCCATAGAGCATCAAGCCCACACTTTGATCATCAAAACCTTACCTTCAAACCCAATTGACCATCAAGCCCCTACCTTGAGCATCGACACCATTCACTTCTCCTTCTCGGCCGCCTTCTTCCTGCCCTGAATGCGTTTCTCCTTCCATAGAGCATCAGGCCCACACAATGGCATCATCTAACCCATATCACGACCATCAAGCCCCTACCTTGAGCATGGACACCATACGCTTCTCCTTCTCGGCCACTTTCTTCCTGCCCTGAATGCGTTTCTCCTTCCATAGAGCATCAGGGCCACACAATGGCATCATTTAACCCATATCACGACCATCAAGCCCGCACCTTGAGCATGGACGCCATGCGCTTCTCTCTCCTTCTCGGCCGCTTCTTCCTGCCCCAAATGCACTTCTTCTTCCCTTGCCCGTTGAATTGAACTAACTCATCACGCCCATACCATGACCACCAAACCCATCCGACCATCACACCCATAGCTTAGGCGTCAAGGCCGTACACACCTTGAGCATGGACACCATGCGTTTCTCTCTCCTTCTCGGCGGCCTTCTTCCTGCCCTGAATGCTCTCATGTTCGCTTGAGCATAAGCACCATTCCATTATCCATACCTTGAGCATGGACACCATTCGTTTCTCCTTCCTGCCCTGAGTGCGCTTCTCCTTTGCTCACACCTTCAAGCCAATACATTCCCTACGCGTCAAGGCCACCCCTACCTTGAGCATGGACGCCATGAGTTTCTCCTTCTCGGCTGCTTTCTTCCTGCCCTGAATGCCCGCCACTATCTGGGCCACCGTTTTAGTCACAGGCTGCATCTCCGCCAGCATGGATTCCTCATACCCTCCCTTCCTGTTGCTCACTGCCCACGCCCCTATCAGCTCGGAACCTGGCAGCAAGTACGGAATGGAGAAGAAGGGAATAAAGGAGGTTAAGTCACAGACAGGCTGCAGCTCCCCCAGCATGGATTCCTCATACCCTCCCTTCCTGTTGCTCACTGCCCATGCGCCTATCAGCTCGGAACCTAGGTGAATGGGGAAAGCAGGGAGCAGGATATACATGAGGTTGAGTCACTGGCAGGCAGGCAGGTTGCAGCTTCCCCAGCATGGATTCCTCATACCCCCCCTTCCTGTTGCTCACCGCCCACGCCCCTATCAGCTCGGAACCTGGCAGCAAGTACGGAATGGAGAAGAAGGGAATAAAGGAGGTTTAGTCACATGCTGCAGCTTCCCCAGCATGGATTCTTCGTACCCTCCTTTCCTGTTGCTCACCGCCCACGCCCCTATCAGCTCGGAACCTGGCAGCAAGTACGGAATGGAGAAGAAGGGAATAAAGGAGGTTTAGTCACATGCTGCAGCTCCCCCAGCATGGATTCCTCATACCCTCCCTTCCTGTTGCTCACCGCCCACGCTCCTATCAGCTCGGAACCTGGCAGCAAGTACGGAATGGAGAAGAAGGGAATAAAGGAGGTTTAGTCACATGCTGCAGCTCCCCCAGCATGGATTCCTCATACCCTCCCTTCCTGTTGCTCACCGCCCACGCTCCTATCAGCTCGGAACCTAGGTGAATGGGGAAGGCAGGGAGCAGGATATACATGAGGTTGAGTCACTGGCAGGCAGGCATGTTGCAGCTTCCCCAGCATGCTCTCCTCGTACCCCCCCTTCTTATTGCTCACGGCCCACGCCCCTATCAGCTACGACCCTATGGAGAGTGGGGCATAGGGAGTGGGGCATGGGGAGTGGGGCATGGGGAGTGGTGAGGACACGGAATAGAGCAGGCTGCAGCTTCCCTAGCATAGCCTCCTCGTACCCCCCCTTCCTGTTGCTCACCGCCCACGCCCCTATCAGCTCCGAGCCTATGAGCACATGAGGGCATGGGGAATGGATAGGGAATGGAAACACAGGGCTCAGGAGGATGAGTGACAGAGCAGGCTGCCGCTTCCCTCTCCTCGTACCCCCCCTTCCTGTTGCTCACCGCCCACGCCCCTATCAGCTCCGAACCTGTATGGGCATGTGCATGTGCACATGTATGGGCATGTGCATGTACACATGGATGGCCATGTGCACATGTACGGCCACGTGCATGAACGTCTCATGGAATAGCGGCACGCCTAGGAAGTTGTGGATGAGGGGGTGGCCGGGGGGCAGGCCAGCAGAGCGAGGGGTCTCAAGCATGTGTGTGCGTGCACTTACCATGTATGGGCATGTGCACGTACACATGCATGGGCACGTGCATGTACATATGTATGGGCACGTGCATGAGTGAACACATGTACGTGCATGTGCACCCGTGCACCCTCAGTTGCACGTACCATGGAATAGCGGGACGCCTAGGAAGTTGTGGATGGGGGGGTGGCCGGGGGGCAGGCCAGCAGAGCGAGGGTCGTCCGGAGCGTTGTTGCTGAGAACCACATCGCTGGTCTTCACAATCTGGTGAGAGGGATGGGAGGAGGGGGTGAAGGAGAGCGATGGCGGAGAGGGGTCGGGAGGAGGAGGGGTGGGTGGGAGAGAGACAGGGGTGCGTGCGGGGGAAAGGGGTGGGGAAAACACAGAATGGAGTGGTCTCGCAACTTGAGGAGGGTAGAGGGAAGGGGGTGGGGAATGTGGAGAAGGGAGAGCGAGAATGCAGGGCGAAGATGGAAGAGAGAAGGGAGGGAGGCACTGACGTAGCCGAGCTTTTAGGGCTCCTCAAAAGACGAGGAATGTGGAGAAGGGAGGGCGAGAATGCAGGGCGAAGATGGAAGAGAGAAGGGAGGCACTGACGTGGCCGAAGAGAGTGCTGAGGTTGCTGTAGACGAGCCCCTTGGCGGCGAGTAGACAAGGACAGGGGAGGGCGAGGAAAGGGGAAAAGGGAGGGCGGGAAAAGGGGAAAAGGGAGGGCGGGGAAAGGGGAAAAGGTAGGGCGGGAAAAGGGGAAAAGGGAGGGCGGGAAAAGGGGAAAAGGTAGGGCGGGGAAAGGGGAAAAGGGAGGGCGGGGAAAGGGGAAAAGGGAGGGCGGGGAAAGGGGAAAAGGGAGGGCGGGGAAAGGGGAAAAGGGAGGGCGGGGAAAGGGGAAAAGGGAGGGCGGGGAAAGGGGAAAAGGGAGGGCGGGGAGAGGGGAAAAGGGAGGGCGGGGAAAGGGGAAAAGGGAGGGCGGGGAGAGGGGAAAAGGGAGGGCGGGGAAAGGGGAAAAGGGAGGGCGGGGAAAGGGGAAAAGGGAGGGCGGGGAAAGGGGAAAAGGGAGGGCAGGGAAAGGGGAAAAGGGAGGGCGGGGAGAGGGGAAAAGGGAGGGCGGGGAAAGGGGAAAAGGGAGGGCGGGGAAAGGGGAAAAGGGAGGGCGGGGAGAGGGGAAAAGGGAGGGCGGGGAGAGGGGAAAAGGGAGGGCGGGGAGAGGGGAAAAGGGAGGGCGGGGAGAGGGGAAAAGGGAGGGCGGGGAGAGGGGAAAAGGGAGGGCGGGGAGAGGCACTGACATGGCCGAAGAGCGTGTTGAGGTTGCTGAAGACGAGCCCCTTGGCGGCATTCTCCGTGTACCACAGGCGCAGCTCCCTCGTCCATGCAAAGTTGGTGATAGAGTGGGTCTGGCAAGGGGAGGCGAGGAAGAGGCAAACAAAGGACAGGGAGGGCAGGGATGATTCAAGAGTGCCCATCCCCTTGGCGGCGTTTCTCCGTGCACCACAGGCGCAGCTCCCTCGTCCATGCAAAGTTGGTGATAGAGTGGGTCTGGCAAGGGGAGGCGAGGAAGAGGCAAACAAAGGACAGGGAGGGCAGGGATGATTCAAGAGTGCCCATCCCCTTGGCGGCGTTTCTCCGTGCACCACAGGCGCAGCTCCCTCGTCCATGCGAAGTTGGTGATGGAGTGGGTCTGAGAGGCGAGGCGTTACGGGGCAGAGGCAAGCAAAGGATGGAAAAGGCAGGCAGAGTGACTTCAGACTCAGCTGCCCACTCCCTTGGCGGCGTTCTCCATGTACCACAGGCGCAGCTCCCTGGTCCATGCAAAGTTGGTGATGGAGTGGGTCTGGGAAGGAAGAAGGGAGGGCAGGGGACAGAAAGAGGAAGAGGACAGAGAGAGACCAGGGAGAGAGAGTGGGGATGGCTTAGCACCTCCCAACCGTGCCCAACCGTGAGCGACTGGGTGAGCTGCAGAGCTTTCCACTGTAAAGCTGCCCCCAACCGTGCCTATAACGAATGGCTTAGCAGGCAGGCGATTGGGTGAAACCAGCAGGCGACTGGACCGCTATAACGCCACAACCCGTCCGTGCTTATAACAAGTGCACTCACCTTCAGAGAAAAAGCCCCATCGGGCTTGCTGACAGCGCTGCAGATGAAGCCAGCAGGCGACTGGGTGAGCATCGACCGCTGCTTCTATATTACCACGGTGCTTATAACGAGTGCAAAGTGTGTTTCCTCTCAACTTTAGGGAAACAGCGCCGTCGGGCTTCCGGACAGCGCTGCAGATGAAGCCAGCAGGCGACTGGGTGAGCTCCAGCAGCTGTGGGGCTTATAACGAGTACAAGTGTGCTCTCACTCACCTTGAGGGAAACAGCGTCGTCAAGTTTCCTGACAACACTGCAGATGAAGCCAGCAGGCTACTGGGTGAGCATCGACCGCTGCTTCTATATTACCGCGGTGCTTAAAACGAGTGCAACGAGTTTTTCCTCTCACCTTTAGGGAAACAGCACTCTCGGGCTTCCGGACAGCGCTGCAAATGAAGCCCGCAGGCGACTAGGTGAGCTCCAGCAGCTGTCTCTACAATACCACATCGCACCCGCGGGGCTTATAACGAGTACAAGTGTGCTCTCACTCACCTTGAGGGAAACAGCGCCGTCGGGCTTCCGTACGGCGCTGCAGATGAAGCCAGCAGGCGACTGGGTGAGCTCCAGCAGCTGGGAGAGGAGAAAATCTGCCACCTTGCTGCCATTGGGAGTCTGGCAGAGGGATGAGAAGAGGAGAAGGGATGCCGGATGCAGGGGAGTGGGGACAAGGGAAGGGCAGAGGAAGGAAGAATGGGCAGCTGGGAAAGAAGAAAACCCGCCAGCTTGCTGTCGTTGGAGGTCTGGTATGGTGGGGAGGGAGGATGAGAAGGGAAGGATATTCGAGATGCGGGAAGCAGGGGAGTGGGGAGTGGGGAAGGGCAGGAGAAGGGCAGGAGAAAGGCAGGGGAAGGAGGAGTGGGTGAGCTCCAGCAGCTGGGAGAGGAGAAAATCTGCCACCTTGCTGCCATTGGGGGTCTGGCGGAGGGATGAGAAGAGGAGAAGGGATGCCGGAGGCAGGGGAGTGGGGACAAGAGAAGGCACGTGTAGAAAGAACATTTTTGAGACGTCTCGAAAATCTGCCACCTTGCTGCCGTTGGGGGTCTGGCGGAGGGATGAGAAGAGGAGAAGGGATGCCGGAGGAAGGGGAGTGGGGACAAGGGAAGGGCAGAGGAAGGAAGAATGGGCAGCTGGGAGAGCAGAGCAGAAAATCCGCCACCATGCTGCCACTGAGGGGATCTGGAGCGAAGGGGAAGGGGATGAAAGACAAGGGCTGCAATGCGGTGAGCAGGGAAGTGGGGAAGGTGGAAGGGGCAGGGGCGCGGGGGCGGGGGCAGGGGCGCGGGGAAGGAGGAGTGCGTACCGTGTCCTTGGCGTAAAGCTCGTGCACCTTAGTGATCAACGGCAGCATTCTCCGATTGAGAAGTTCGGTTGCACTCACGTGGCTCAGGTGACTTTTGAGCCTCACAAGTCAAGCGCATACGTACCGTATCCTTGGCGTACAGCTCGTGCGCCTTAGTAATCATCGACAGCATTCTCCGATTCAGAAGGTCAGCTGCGCTCACAACGCTCCCCCCTCCCCCTCCCGCTCCAGCTCCCACTCCCACGCTATGAGTCGTCCCCGTTATAAGCGAGTCCGTGTTACTGCTCGCGCCAGAGTGCGTCCGAACCAGCCCCGCCACCCGCGGCCCTCTTTCCCCCGCATCTCCCCCCGCCCCTCCTCCCCCAGCCTTTCCGCCTAGGTAAGGGCACGCGGACGGGCCATCGTCCGTCATTGCGCCGTGCATGTCCGGGAAGGAGGCTCGGGGGTGAGGCCCGGGGGAGAATCGGGAGTTAGGTCTGGGAGAGGTCCCGGCTGAAGAGTGAGTGTCGGTGTGATTGTGACTGCCACCGGCTTTTAGCTGAGAGACGAGGCGCAAGGCGGAAGCGAGGGAGGGATTGGCGGAGGAATCTCCGCACTTGTGACACCTGAAGGTGGCGGAAAGCAGGGGCGCGGAAGGCAAAGGCAAAGGCAAAGGCAAAGGCGAATCGAAGGGGGACGACTGAGATCTAAGCTGAAAAGCAAGGCTACGTGGTTCAGGTTTACTCTGTCCGTGTGTAGTATACTTGCGCTCGGGGGTTTCTTCTTGAGTGAGCATTTGTACCCTTTAGAAGCCGTCTGTAAGGCGCTGATGATCTCCTGCCAGTCGGCTTTGCTCCATTTCGATGTGACTTTATCGGGGGAGTCCACGAGATGATCACCCGATTGACCCGCAGCATCCCGCTTCCCGTCCACCGAAGCCGACGATGGTAACCGCATTTTCGCGAAAGCGTCGGTGGGTGGAGTCGAACCAGCGGGAGCCGCGCTGCTGTCGTAGCTGCGACGTGCGAATGATCGCGAGCGACGAGGCTCGCTGTTGTTGTCGAGATCTTGCGACGTTTGCGTGTGCGGATTGCGAGGCTTGCCGGAGGGGGCGGGGGCCCCTTCTTGCTTCCCTCCCTGAACGAACATTTTGTTGAACCGGCGAGCTAACGCCATGGTTGCGAGAACTGGGCAACAAAGCGAAGCTTAACCACGTGAAACCTCGCAGGAAACTTTTCAGTTCTGTAATACGACGCCAAGCTAAATGCAGTCGCAGATACACTCAGTAAAAAGTCTCTTATTGCCAACTTAACGTCCGATATTCTCCCGAAAAATGCCAACAAATTTGGAAAGGGAAACAGAATGCTAGTTGAGTGCAGCCCTAGGCTCCGCCATTCCCATCTGGCACTAAACTAGCTCGCGCAAGCTAAAAATGAGACGTAAATTCGTGAAGGTGAGACCAGCGGAACATCTTGGATCACGATGTTGAAACGGAAATGAAGAAAAGGACATTCCTGAGGGAAAAGGGGGTGGTAGCTTTTCCTACTTCGAGAAATCTCGCGACTACAAATTTGAGTCCCCACTCAAGAATCATATGCCACAGATTGTTGTATGGTTTTCGAATGATTTCAATGTTCTCACTATTTAAATCATTCGACCTAAACCCATGTCTTTGTTTTATGGATGAAATGCACACCCTAAACTAAATGTATAATCGAAACTGTTATTGATCGCTTATATTCACTGCAACATGCGGACTGTGCATTAAACTGCATCGGTCCCTAACAAGGTCCGAGTATATTTCGACAGTCACATCACGTTTTTCACTACAGACAAAACGCGCGCGAGATAATAGTACCCGAATCTGTACAGTAGATTTGAGAGTTTCGACTTTTTGGCGGGCGTTTCAACGAGTGACCAAACGTGATAACCCTGCGGGGCGAGGTGTGACCACGCGTGATAGCGCTGTGATCACACGTGATAGCGAAGTACTGTACTGTGACTGTCCGTGATAACCCCGTTACCAAACGTGATAATACGGCCTAAATTGTGACTGCGCGTATAATTTCTCAAATGCAAAACAGGGCTCAGGCTATCAGGGTAAACGCTCATTCTTGACTGAAAATCCAAGGTATTTTCAGCCGAACACGGATTTTTATAGGAGAGTTTTTCTTCCAGCACTGACTGAATCCGAGCACTTCCAGGAATGACTCTGATGAATCCGAGTAGTCCCTAGAATGACTCGGAACTTTTTCTAAAGCCCTTACCACCCCCAACTAACCCCCTTCTCAACACAGGTAGACTTCTTCCCCGCTTCCTGGAACTTGTGAATGCTTCACTCCTGCCCCTCTGTCAAATTCGGAGGCCTTGTACACTTCCGCTCTCTGTGAGGAGAGGTCCACACGAAAGCAGCTTAAGTGCACTGAAACAGAGTTTCAACATCAGCTTTTGTCAGAAAGAAGTCTCCATTGCCGCACATTGTCGAATTACTTAAACGATGATTTAAGCCAGTCCTGATATTTCCGAGCGGTTTTTCGGATGACCCTGCGTTTTCAGCATTTTTTTAAGGGAGCCAAACCGTCCGAGTTAACTTTAGCTCTGTTTCAAAATCCAATCCCAGGATGCGCGATGCGGTACCTCAATTTCGCGATTGGTTGTTGGCTGGCAGAAGGCATCGAAAAGACGCGTGAAGTGAACGAACGAACACGAGAACGGACACGTGCAGCTGTAAGGTTCGCTCGAATGCTGGCGTCACTCCCTCGCAACGTGGTGATACCGATCTTATAGAGTAGCTCGTGTAAATTCTACAAGCCCAGCCATTCGCGTTCTCGTGCTGCAAAGCTATTGCTTGAGTAATTTCTAGACAGCCCCATCAAGAACGGTACTTGCTTAGTTTAGGGCCATCATACCCTTGCATGTAGCGAGTCTAAAAATAAAACATGCTGCTCCATGAAAAGATACATGCTCCTTTGAAATTGCATTTCAAACGCAGTGTGCAACTACGGTGTCACTGGTGTGTCAAACCGGGTTAGTATCAAGTCATTATAATTTCTAAACACATTGATATTTTTCAGAATTGTGTATTGTGAAAGCGAAGCTGCCTGTACCGAATATTTGGCAACGTCGAAGCGCGCTAAACGCCCTTCTCCAACTACAAAAACCGTGGGTTGGAGTTCATTCCCTCCACCCACGTTTCTCGTTTTCCAACGGCTCATTCAACGTTTCCGTTCGAGTTGTTCTTTTCCCCGTCCAAGCTGGCTAGAACTCGCACTCTTCCCAGAGGCTAGTCACCCTCAACACTTCTGCAAGAACATTGTCAACCACAATCGCTCTACAATGGCGTCTACACCGGCACTTAACCGCGGCAATTCGTCTGCGCCGAGTTCCGACACCCATCGTAACGCCCGAGAAATGACGGGCGATCGCCGTAACAAGCGGCGGGCAGAGGAAGGATCGCCGCCCCAACTGCCGTGGACGTGCTAAAAACTCGAGCCCGCCTCAGCAGCAGCACCCCTCGGCCCCTGTGGCGCTTATGGCGCCTGAGGGGCGTGTGGCGGAAGTGGCGACGGAGGCACCTGCAGCACATGTGGTGCCACACGCGCCTAACGCGGAGCACACGCCGGCGCCTCTGGCTGGACCGCCGCGTCAGCGCCACAGGCGCCGAACAGCGACTTCCTCTGACGCAATGACCCCGACGTTGACCAGCGTGTTGACTCCGGACCAGGTCGCCGCGCTTCTGTCCTTGTTACAGCAACAGCCCGCCAGCGTTACAGCTACGGAAATTGCACAACCTGCGGCCTCTTCATCTGCTAAAAAGGAAAACGCAAAAGGAGAAAAAGGAGCGCGAGGAACAACTGTGAGAACTTGAGCTAGGCTAAGGAGCCATAGCTAGTTGAGTTCGAGTGAGTTAAGTTAGAGTCGAGAAAGTTGAAAAGAGAAGAAGGGTTTTCACTATAGAGCGAGCAGTACATATAGGCAAAATGAAAGGTGCACCACCAAAACAGAACATTATATAACTACACTAGTCTACACTACAGGCAGTTACAAAAACAATATATAGAAATATATATTATTCTTGACACGCCCCCATAAGTGCCTGTAGGGAAGAATATGCAGTCAACGCCCCCATAATGGGGTACACCAAGCAGGAGCAGTGACAACCAATGCAGAAAACAGAGAACAGGAGGTGATAGGCTCTGGTTGGTCACCCCCTACATCCCCTCAACCTCCCCCTCCCCCTCCCCATCCCCCTCACACTGCTGCAGGAGCAGCAGAGGGGGGGGGGGGGGGGGGGCAAACGGAGGAGAATGGGGCCGTAGGGCTAGGGGAACAGACATCACCCATCACCCCCACACCCGCCACCCCCAGTCCCTCCCCGGGCTCCCCCACACTCTCACACCCCCCCCCCCCAGCGGCAGCTGCAGCAGAGGGAACAAAAGGAGGAGGAGAAGAGGGGGGGGAGGGAGGGGGGGGGCCGACGCACGGCCTCCCCGGGCGCCAAAGCAGGCGGCAGAGGGGGCGACGCCTGCCCCCCCCTTCCAGGTCGCCCCTCCCGTCACCTGTCGAGGCGACCTGAGGGGGCCGCGTGCGGCCCCCGAAGGAGCCGCGACGGGTGACGGGAAAAGGGGGGGGGGCGGTGCACGTGCCCCCGGTGTGCCGCGGCTGGCGACAGGGCATGGCCGGGGCGGGGTCGGGGCCGCAAGAGGGCGGGGCCGCAGGTGGCATCGGTGCCTAGGGTGGGTACCGCACGGGCGGCGACGGGCCGGGACGGGTGGCACGTGACGCCGCGAAGGGCGGCGACGGGCTGGTACGGGCGGCGACGGGCCGGGACGGGCGGCGACGGGGCCGCAGGAGTAGAGCGGCGAGGCCGCAGTGTAGGGCGGCGGGGCCGCGACAGCAGAGAGGCGGCGAGGCCGCGACAGTAGGGCGGCGGGGCCGCTTAAGAAGGTGCGGGGCCGCGAGCGGGTGGCGGGGCCGCGAATGAAAGGGCACACCACGGGGCGTGCAGTACACTCAGTAGCAGCGGAAGCAAAAGGCCAGGATCGTAACTCTCTCTGATAGCATGTGAGAACTTGAGCTAGGCTAAGGAGCCATAGCTAGTTGAGTTCGAGTGAGTTAAGTTAGAGTCGAGAAAGTTGAAAAGAGAAGAAGGGTTTTCACTATAGAGCGAGCAGTACATATAGGCAAAATGAA